AGAAAATTTTAGTTTAGTTACTGATATTTCTCATGAAATTGTTTCATTCAAGCAAAAAATCAAAGGGAAATAATTTGAACATTCATGATGAGAGGGAGGGAGGGGAGGTTAATGTAGAATCAAATATTATTTATTATTAGGGCTGTAGTGCATGTGATTCCGTTTATACTTGATGAATCAATAGGAACGAACAGTAACAAATGAAGGGACATATATATTGGAGTTACGCCCCTCTGTGATTATTGCTTCAAAAACAAAGGGACGTATGTGCCTGAGTTACGCCCCTTTGGAATTATTCATTCTCAATATGAGCTAGAAAAGAAAGAAAAAGTATAAAAAGAAAGAGGCGTATGTGCTGGAGATACGCCCCTTCAGTACTTGCTAGTCGGACTTACGTCCATTTGCCACTTCAGAAATTTGTCCACAAAAAACCTTTCATAAGTTGAGAAAACTCCATTTCGAAGGAAAAAAAAACATACGCCCCTTTGGTATTAAGAGAAAAAAAATCTCAGAGAAATGGCACTTACGCACCCTTTGATTTTAATGCGACGATATAGAATAAAAATCAAGTTTTCAAAACATTGAACACTTTAAAATAATCATTTATTAGATGAGTATCATTGGAAAAATCGTTTTTTTGTTGCAAAATATAATTTGCATGATGCTGAGTATCCATTAATTTTTTTAAACTCTTCTCTGATGAAAACATTTTATGAAATAGTCCAAGATATTTTAGAATTTAACATGAACTCTTATGCGGTTTTTCCACAATGAAGCAGAGAAAAGCCTGACCCCCTCCTATGATATGTATTTAGATAAAATTATGTAAAATTTTTTAAATCAATGAAAGACAAATTGTCATTAACAGATTGAAATCTTGCTTGCAATCGAAGAAATTGTGATGCTCGTGAGGTCGGCCCAAAAAATTTCGGTCAACATTAAGTAATAAGTAATAAGCGAATAAAAACTCGAGATATCATCAACTCTTAATTGTCAGAGCAAAGCAACTCTGCCATAATCTCAAGAAAAAATCCAATAATATGATTATCAGGCAATTTATGTAATTGCAGCGGCCACTTCAAGTACAATTAATTGAAACTTCGAGTGGAGTTAATAGAAGAATTTATTCGGATTCATTCGGTTGAAAGGGTTTAGTGGTTTTACAGGATTGAGAGATGTTTCAGGAGTTGTTCAAGAGTTATTAGAATGGAAAAGGAGAGTTGGAGTATTTCTTGGACTCCAGGTACCTCAGGTACAGAGCCAGGACTATTAATTCAGCGACAGCATCTCTGTTTGACTCTTCATGTTCAACTTCGTTCAATTTTAGTTTCTTAATGGGAGTTTTTCTGGGTTTTCTCTTTACTGGGGCCTTTTTGGTGACTTTATTTTGTTTAGTTCTGGTGTTTATCTGTCTCTTTTTTCTGGTTTTAGGAATGGATACGTCGTTATCACTGAGGATTCTCTCGACACTCTCAGATGTCAGGATGGGGATTGATTGGATCGATTCGGAGGATTCAGAGTCGTCGGATAAGTCGTCCATTAGCTCTGAGAGATCACTGGATTCTCCGGAGGATGAAGTACTGTCGTTTTTCAAACAGAGACACTTGACTTTTCGTTTAGATCCTCTTTTGGATGGGAATACAGGGTGGATCAGGGGTTCTTGGTGGATTAAGGCGTTCGTTTGTATCTCAAAGTTCCTTCTGGATATCTCTGAGGTACTTGGAATCCCTAGGTCATCCCCATAGTAACTGGGAGCTTCTTGAGGGGCTGTGGGTGGTGGGGATGGTACTTGGACTGAGGCATTTTTCGTACCTTCTACTGAGCACGATGGATTCATGCTCTTCGGTGGCAAACTTTTGGCTAAGGATGCTGGGCCAGACTCCAGGGAGGTCCTGGGAACTTTGCTGGGCTGTGTACCGTCGCAGAGACGTGCCTCCTGAGAGAATAGCTGGATTGCCTGGGCTGCTGCCTGATTTGGAGTTAGATTCGTCACCTGAAAGATTAAAAAAAATGGATTACTTTAAAAATTACATTCTCTACAGAAGAGACTAATTTCCTTTTTTCTCTCAATTTATTAATTTGAAACTTGTATTGGCCAATGGAACTGAAAATCCCTGAGTGTATATTCAGTTTTGGTGTATCAGTTTAAGGCTTTTTCTATTGTCTTGTTATGTCTCGAGGTGAATATCAAAAGATCTTTTTGCAACGAATGGAATTCACTAGAAAAAAAATCGTTTGAAATCCCCTATAGAAAAATCTGTGTTCGTAACCAAGGTTTTTCCTTTGGTTTTTATGCTCAAGTCCTTTTTCTTGTTTCAGGAACCAGACATTCAATTGACTCCATTGAAAGTTTATTAAATATGCTTCAAAATGACACCTGATTTGCCCAATTGTGCCAATTTTTCATTGACTTATGAGAGTTTTGAGCGAAAATTGAATTTTCATGTTTCACTTTAAAAATTAACTTTGGTTGGATTTTTCGATGCTCCTAAGTGGACTAGGCAGGGGTATCTTAATATCATTTTGAAGAGCATTTACGATTCCTCAAAATGGTGTATGATAAATCCGATTTTATTGAATTCTCCGTAAGCTATTGTAGATTATTTCCATTTCTTACGTTATGTCACATCTCGAAAATGACTGTTTTTGTCATTTATTGAGGCTTTAGACTTGACCAGCGGGGATATATTATATGATGATTTCAAGGTCTCATCGAGTTCTTCAAATTGAGATCCCATATTATCTATTCCATCCCCCAGATCACTTGTTATAAGCGATAGTATAGCAATTTTAGTATGTCACCGTTTTTGAAAATTTCTGTGTTTCTCCTTCTAATGACGAGATTTGGTCGCTTTCTGTTCAAATTTGTAGAGATATCTTATGCCTTGGTGAAAATATATTAAATTACCTTGCAATTTCCACCTGAACTATTTCATTGAGGATAATTTTCCTGAACATATGGGAATTTTTATCCGAAAATTGAATTTCAAGATGTTTATTGCACATTCAGCTTGGTTTGGATTTTTCTATAACTATTGGCCAAAGGAATGAAACTATTCATATACCATTTCAAACGGTATTTGTTGTTGTAGAACGTAAAACCAGGGGAATTAGAATTTAAAATGAAACCAAAAAATCTTAGGTAGTAATTCAATATCCTATCAGTTTTGAAATCGTTCACATTGCTTCGAAAACATCTCTGAAGCTAGTAGGGTTGGAGTAGAAAGTCAAAAGAACTTCTCTGCATAAAAAGCTTTTTTCCGTCCCGGCGGGCGCAAAGTTACATTTCCCTCCCGCTTCGCGGGAGGGAACTCTGACTGTGCGCCTACGCCGAGACAGAAAATCGCGTTCTAACCACGGGAAGTAAAATAAAGGACCCTCAGCCGCGTGCTTACCAACCTCGCCTTCGGCTCGGCTGGTAATTGCACTAGCGGCTGAGGATCCTTTATTTTCCCTCCCTAGGTTAGAAATATACTATTTAAGCCTTTTCCTTCCAAAGATGTTGTCGATGTTGTCAAATCAAACAAAACATGTTAATTCCAATTCAGTTTTGTATATATTTTGAAGCAATTCATCTTACTCTGCGAATTTTTCTAACATTAGTGAGTTTGATGTAAAAAACTTGGCTTGATATTGCAATCTAAATCATTGAAAATATTGATGAATGAAACTGAAAATTTGAAAATGTTAAAATCGTGAATATCTATGAAATGACTAAATTTAGAACAGAAATTCAAAAACCCTTTCTGTACAGAATTAAATACTTTCAAAAAAAGGTGTTTCAACATTCGTTCCTCTGCACACTAGCGCAGAATATAGGGTGAACAGGCCAATTGCAGGACGGTTAAAGGAACTTCCAGTTTCGTGGTAGAATCTAAAATAAAAGAATCACCTAAATGGTGATATGATGGCTTCCATACTTTCAAGAATTTTCTAATTAGCAGAAAAAAATTATTTGCAGTGAAAATAACAAAACAAAGAATAATTAAATTACGAAATAGTTGAATGCAACCGAAATAATCAACACAATTTTCATTTTAGTTGGAATATTCAATGGAATATTCAATGCAAGTTGAAATCGTCCAGAAACTAGCCCCCGTCCAGAAATTGACCTGCTTACCCTACACGCAACTAAACTAATAAATCCGTAAAAGTAGATTGTACTGCCTTTCTCAATGAACTTTTGGGTAATTTACCTTTCCACTAGATGCACAATTCTGATTGTCGCATTGTGGATTGCCACATCCATCCGTTAACTGGTAGAAGTAACGTTCGATTAACTTCTTGGCTGCTGCTCGCTTCATGTCACTGCAAGGGCTCTCAGCTCCTACCCTGTTTGCATTCAGTTGAAAACAAAAAGAAATAAAAATATTTGTCACGTCATTGCCAAAGAATAAAGCTCCAAGGAGTAGACGAGAACAAAAGTCCACGTGCGTAAATATCTCAATCCCTAATTATAGAATTCAGGAGAATTCAGGGGCATGAGTGTCAATGACTTGTCAAGGAAAAACAAACTGCACAAAGAAGAAGTTCAGCAACATTTTGACACCTAGTTACGTTATTTTACCTGGAAGCGAGATCTTCTCCAGGGTCCTCTTGGCCCTTGGGGTTCATAGATCCAGAGTAGTTGAAATTTTGACTAAAATTCGCACGTCAAATTGATCCACTCCAATTTTCCCAAGATTTCGTTTTCACTTATCTCTGCGAGTCTGATCGCCACGAAAAAAAGATCCCTCGGCACTAGTTTTATCCACCACTATTTCAACGATGTAAAAGCAAAGTGAAACTTTTAATCTGTCTTTGTTCTGGCACAAGAGGCACTAGAGTTAGCCAAACAATTTACAATCCCAACCCAACAAACTTAACTAAATTTAGAGTCAATCGTGTTGTTAACCAATGTTCACGGTGTTGTAAAGTACGATAGTGACGAGAAATTGAGGGGAAATGGAGAGTGGGTGGCTGGGTTGGAGTAACAAGAGGAGAGGGGAGGTAAAAAGAAAAGAAGAGGGGATTTAAAAACAAATGTATATGATGCCACTCAGGGGACTGACAGCTAATGAAGAATTGTTTAATAAATGGGAAACCGATTATTTGGTTGAGATATTGATAATTATTCCTTTGTTTTTGTTTTCAGATGTCGTGACATGAAAATGTCACGATCAAAAGTCACTCGCCTGATGAATTTGAGTAGCGACTCGTATTTCCGAGCTCCTTATTTCCTGATTCGGAGGGGAAATGTCAGTTGAATTTTACAGTATGATTATCGTTTTCGTGTTTACTCTAGGTAATTCATAGAGACATTCAATCAATGAGTTACTATCATGAAATCGTTGGGATTGTCGACCAAAGACACTGCGATGTCCTACACCTAGCTGAATGAGTCGAGAGAAAAGGAAATATTGCGATTTTGAAGATGTTTTGTAGAAAAAAAACACGTGCGCGCGCACAGAACACTGAATACGTTGAGGAGTCAAGTTTTGAGACGTGGGTTGTGTCGGATACACTTGAAAACGTCTTTTATTTATGTACTTCGTCGTTGTTGTTTTTTCACTCACGGTATCATAGCTACTCGAGGTTCGACAAGAATTTGGAAGTTTGGTGAGGAGGAAAGTTGGTAAAATGGGTAACTGAAAGGTTTTTTTTTATTGAAGGCTGATATGAAAGGGATTGACTGTGCTGGGTGATAATGAGAGGGCTCTTGGGTAAATCGGAAACTTTGAAAACTAAGTTGTCTAGCAACTAAGATAGGATCACTGAGAATAGATCCCTCTATTCTCCATGGATAGGATTCCTATGACTGGGATTCTGCGCTTTTAGCCCAAAAACCTTAAATTTCAACCAACCAATCAGAACCATGCTTCCCGATCGGTAATGCAGGGATTCTGGATGCGTGGCTGTGATTCGTTAAAATTTAAGGTTTTTAGGATACCCTAAATGCGCAGAATTTCAGTAGCAACTCGCCGAATGGAGTTGAATAGACGTATAATTATCAGGCAAATAAGGAATTTCCAAATGAAATCAATTCCTATAATATGGGAATAAGTTGGCATAGTTTGGCAATGTATTTCTATAGTTCTAAATGCAATAGCATTTAATTCCTGAAGAAATTTACAATCTTCCTAGACCCTACACTGAGAGAAAAACAAACACGTTGTCAAACAAGTCTTGTTCGGGCCAACAAAATCGCTAGTTGAAAATTGATAAAAACGAATTTGTTTGGCTCGAATTTAAAAGTCTCCAACATGAATAATTGCTCTGCTTTCGACAGCAACGAAATATTTGGCTCAAGAGGCGGATAATTCACTCAAGACGGTGCCTTTTCAGGATGAAAACATCTCATATCCTATTAGAGGAAAATTTATCAACAAATATTTTGTCCCTAAGTGACAAGATTTCTATCATCTCATTATTATTGTTTCATTTAAGGGTTCATTTCTTGTCTGTGATTATTAGACAGTCGCAACGAAAAACTACTATCCCTTGTTTCGCATAAAACAAAGATTTTTCGGGAGCAAAATACGTATGGGAGTATCGAATAACGAAGGAGTAGTGCTAGAAATGGTATTTCTTGCGTGTACAGAGAAAGCAATTTTTTTTGCACTTCTAAATCTATTTTGGTGACAAAAATTTTTCATTCCGGTACACTCTCTACATGTTTACACTTTTCTCGTATTGAAACCCATAGTTGCCGTAATCGACAAAAATCCATGAATAAAAAAACCCAAACAACAACTACCTAAACATAAAACTCCTTCAATATCGTGATTTTCGACGAATAAAATAACCAATGGAAGTGAAGAATTGTTTAATTATTCTCTCATCTTTTACAAAATAATTCATGAAGGGAGGGTTGTTTAAATAACAAAAGCATAATTTAATAATTCGAATGAAGACAACTGACACATTGCAGGAATGGAGTTATTTTCATGTCCTTGTTGGCATTCAAATGCCCAGGAGCAGTCATTTCAGCGAAGAAATACAATAAACGGAAGAAAAAACGAGTCTACAAATTGTATCCCTTTCTATCAGACACAGTTTTCTTTTCTTCATCGAAGTATCTCCGTGAAACGCATTATGGTACACGACTCTTGATATTACGACTTATTCTTGCTCTCGTTCTTCCGAATTCCTTTGGATTCTTCAGGTTTGTACGTCAAATCAACGAATTCACCAAACGATTTCATTTAATAATCTTAAGGTAATAGATTTGCATCGTGGATTGTACGTGCGGCATGAATGGGTATTTTTTTCATAATGAAATAAATTTGTTTTCTCTTTTTATTTTGAACGTATGCAATTAAAATGAATAAACAGCGACATATCACAGTACCGTACGCAAAGCTTGAATTAATTTCAGCGGATAAGTGGGATATTACAGCTTCTCAAGGCCAAAAAAGGCGGCTCTACATTCGCTTCAATATGTGTTGAGGAGAACACTTTGTTCTTATTTTACACCTTTTCTGATGGGGGAGGGGGAGGGGTAAGGGTTTTTTTCACTTTTTCTTCATTAGCACTACGTTTTTTTTCTCGTTATTCTCGGCATTCAGTTGCGTTAACACTCTTCGGGCTTTAATGACATCGTAGCTTTGCTTGAATATTTTTTTTCATCAATTTTTTTAATGCATTAGTAACAAAGTAAGTGATGATTTGTTATCTTGAAACTGCGTAATCAGTGGACCCTTTTCTTCCTCATTTATTTATTTTCTCTCTGTACAAATTTGATTTCGGAGATTTTTTCGTAATTCTTTGTTCATTTTGATTCAAAGTACACGTGGTAATAATTATAAATCACTCTGAGGTCCAGCTATTACTCAGGATCAATAAATACTGGGGGAGAATGCAGTACCAGGGGCCATTGTCCAATTTGGCTTCAACTTTTGGAACAATTTGGGGGGTTTTGGGAGAGGGGAAAGGGTTGGAAACTCTTGAACAATCGCCTGTGGTATTGATTCTCCACAGCAGAATACTAATTAAATCAAAAAATGGGAACTTTGGCAACATAAACGTTGGCAACAACACTCGATCGCTCGCTCCACTCAATCTCTCTTTCTTTCTGAATTTTTTTCTCTCGATTTTCGTCGACTCTGACGCATTCTCTGTACACACTCGTTACAATTATCCCCGTGGTATAAGGATTAGTTTTTTCCTCGTGGTTTAATTAAGTTTAGTCGAGAAAGTTAGCTTTAGTCATTTTCATTATGCTGAGGATTTCTTTTTTGGATTATGGTTTAGTGGTTTTTCTCGCTCAATCTTTATGTACAGTACAGAAACATTACGCAGAGGAGTAATTTACAGTTGTCAATCAGAAATGGGATTTTTATGATTGAAAGAAATTCTGACAATGTTATTTCACTGTCCGCCTCAACCGCTTCTTTTATTTACTCGTTAAGCTCTCGATTATTTCCTGCAGGACTGGGTAAATTTATTATAACGCATGATTTATGGTGTCTGTTTCGATCGAAATCTATTACCTCCAGGATCGTTTGTCAATTAAGGGGAAGAGTTGTGTGTAAAAATGAAGAATTATTTTTAGTAGAAAAATTGCATTGATTCTTCACCCTATTTTTAAAGGAATTAATTCACACGATTTATCGATTCACTTGTCAAATAAAAATAAACTTCTTTATTCGGTTATTTTTTGTCAAGGTCAATCAATTTGTTTTTCCTTTCCTGATTTTTACACCTAACAGTGTCCCTTTAATCATTCATCGTAGAGTCTAGGTTTACATTGATTGAACACGTGTAAATTGAAATACAAGGACGTCTGCCTCACTCGTGCGTTTACAGTTTTTCATCGTCGGTGATATATCAGTAGTGAAGTGGTAAAATGAAATGAATTGAAGACAAAATTTCGAATGAAAAATGGTTTTCAATATTTCTCTCTCTAAAATCACTCGTCATCGATATAATTCCATATTTGATAAGATATGAATGATCGACTTGTTCTATTCTGTCGCGTTTTACCACTCCAATCCCAATATTTTTTATGCATGAACATTAAATAGAATTTCTAAAAAAAAAAACAAAATATATCAGTAGCGAAACTGTGAAACGATCTAAATTGGCTTAATTCTTAACGAAGAATATCTCAGAATCTAAGGGAGATGGTGAAATTTTCATAATAACCTTTGTGTTGCTCTTAATTCGTACTACAAAAAAGGTTGTAGCACAAATTTTTCTATTTGTCTTAGATTCCCAGATATTTATGGAAAACTAGCTAATAGTCAAAATTGACATAAACCGCTTCACCACTTCACTACTGATATTTAAAAAAAAGGATTCTGAGGTGAGGCGTTACAGTTTCGAATGAAGGTAATGGGAGATAAAATGTATCATGTCATCCTCGAGTTTCAATATTTTGTTCCATAAAGTACTTTGTTGAATGATTTTGAAATGCCTTTATCGTTCAATTATATCATCTTCACTCAATATTTTTTATTTCACACACGAGAAAAAGAAATTGAAAGGAAAGAAGAGAAAAAAAAACATAAGTAAAACAACAAATCTCTCAACTTTCAAATTTCCCTTGCTCCATACATCTCACTCTCAAAACAAATTTTTATTATTTAATAAAGATTAATTATTCATTAATACTAAACGGACAAATAATCACGCACTCTGTCACGCATCGAATTATTATCAATTTTCTTTCGTTTTTGTTTATTTGTTTTTTGCATTCAACAACAAAAAAAACTTACCCAGGATTCAACGCACATTTATTTATTTAATTTTATGGTTTTTATTCATTTTTTTGTGTTTTAATTTTTTCTTAATTTTTTTATTTTCTTTTTCTGTGTTCTGGGTAATATTTATTCTCCCCGCTCTAAACTCCGTTATTTATTTTATTTACGTTATGGATTTTGTCATTTTTAATCTGTAATTTTTATTTTCTTTCGGTTTCTCTCGGTACAATTTTTGTTTTCATCAACTATGTTTTATCGTTCGCATGGTTACTGCTCGAAATTGGAGATTGAGAAGAGGAAAAAAAAATACTCGAGGAAGACAAATTTACACCTACAATTGTCATCCTCAATTCTCTCATTTAATTAAATCAGTAGGAGAAGCTACGTCGAGTCTTATAAAAGTGATTTTCATAATGCATTGATTGAATAATTCTGTATTGGGGGCGATAGGCACACTTGCAATAACTCTAAAACGCAGTTCAGACCCAACCAGCGGGTCACACTTTCAACCTCAACCACTTAAGCTTTTAGTAATTATTTTCACTCGCTACACAGTCATCCTCAACTTTTCAATAATAAACCACTCCAAATGCTCACTTCTGCTCCCAAAAATGAAGACAATAGTTTACGTTTCACTCTTTTATAGTCATAAAAATGAAAGATCAGTACTGAGAAATGCTGAGCAAAAGTTGATTAAAATGTCGATAACTTTTAATCGACGAATGATAGATAACAAAAATTTAATTTCTCAAAGCTCTGCAGAGAGGATAACTATTTCCAACCTGAAGAATTTCAGCCGCGACCCCAAACTCGCAATCTCTGATTAAAAAAAAAAGCTTCCATTCGAAAGCAAAAACGACTAGTGTAAACATTCACTCAAGAGATTCCCCCAAAGTCGAAACTTCCGAATAATTTTCATCACTGAAATTCCCCTCGGAAACCATTCTCCATGTCCAGAGCGACAAAAAAAATTAATCCAGTCTGATTTGAACTGTTAGTTCAATTTCTCCTACAATGGAAGAAAGAATTATTTCTGAAAAGTTCATGACGAGAGAAATTATTATTTCTTGACGATGGATATTTTTAAGATCATACCTAGTAAATTCGAATTGTGTTCCACGTAAAAAAATAGTTGTCGGCGATTGATAATGCCTGTTTGATGACGTAAAATGCATTTTAAAAAATTATCCATTGCTTCTTATTTATTATTTTTCTAAACGAAAAAATGAGCATCTACTGTTTTTCGTCCAATTTCCGTCTTTCATCGTTGTACTCAATAAAGAATATTCATGTTTCCTCACAAATGAAATCATTTTAGAGTTAATGACAAATTAATGAATGTTGATGAAGTTTATTTAAGGCCGTAACGATCATGCTTATTTAACAGTGACATAATTTCTTTATTATGTTTTAATTTATTTGGAATCCAATTTCTCGATGATCATTGATTCCTCCTAAATTTCAAAATTGAGACTTCGCATGAATTTCTTTAATTGTTGTAGATGAAAACTGAATAAAGAACATTACCCTCGCCTCTCTATTTTGACACATAATGAAAAACATAATCAGTTATACGCGATTGATAATGTCTGCATGAGAACCTAAAAATACAATTTTTTAAAAATTATCTATAGCTTCTCAATTGTTGATTATTTTTCAATACGAAAGAATAAGTATCTATCGATTGCCGTCCAATTTTCGTCATTCATCATTGTATTCAATAAAGAATATTCATGTTTCCACATAGATGGAGTATTTTTCGAGTCAATGAGAAATTAATGAATATTGATGGAGTTCATTTAAGGCCGTAACGATCATGCTTATTTCATGGTGACATAATGTTTTTATATGGAATTTATTTTGAATCCAATTTCTCGATGATCATTCATTCTTCCAATTGGGATCTTGCATGAATTTCTTTCATTGTTATGCATGAAAACTAAATAAAGAACAAATCGCTAATCTTTTTAGTTTGACAGATAATTAAAAAATTAAGGAGTTATAGGCGTTTGATAACATCTGCATAATGACGCAATAAAGTAATTTTATGCAATTCATCTATGCATTCTCATTCGTTCATAGTTTCCCAGAACTAAAGAATGAGTATCCACTGATTTTTATCCAATTTTCGCCTTTCATCATTCTATTCAATAAAAAAATATTCATGTTTTCACCCCGATTCATTTAAGGCCGTGATACATATGTTACCGTGACATAATTCTGGTACATGGAACTTATTTTGAATCCTTTAGAAATTATCAGCTCCCGATGAATAATTTCTCCCCTCGAAAAAACGTGAACTCATCAAAAATAATTTCCTTCTCACCGCAGTGAAGTGGCATGTACTCTCACATCGCTCCCCTGCCCCACTCAAGCAGTAACCATGGACCCCGATACATCGTCCTGCGCCTCCTGCGAGGGTTCACAAGTGTCCCCAGACTGTTGCCCTCGTGTCCACAGCCCAGCATAGCTCGCGGGACGACAAGCGTTCTATCATAATTATTAATTATTTCTCCTTTACTTCTTAATTCTCCAATAATATTAGTTTTATTTAATATTAATTAAATAAGCGAGTCCGTTTATTATGATTTCATAGCATCTCTCTAACCGCCACAATCCCAACTAACATTATGACTGTCTCTGTACTCTTAATAATTTTTCTCTCCATTAATTTCCCCTTTCACTTTCCCCACTATTATTCAAAAAAAAGAATCCAGAGAAAATCAGTCCTTATTTTGCACGAATCAATGGTAAATTGTTTCTCGCCTCGAATAAAAATTGTTCTGGATCTCTCGCCATTATTTTCCCGCATGATTTGAAAAATCATTCACCGCAGCTGGAAGAAGCATCATCGAAATATACAGTCAATCACACAATAATGATAATTTATACACAGAGCTGTTATCAATTCGTCTGTTGTGCCTATTGCGTCGTCCACCTGACACTTGTAATCCACTAGAGTGATGCACTTTGATATTTATTTACTCTGTTCATGATGGACGAATCACACTGGGGCAAGTAAAAGCTCTTCTATGGCCTCACATAATCGAGTGACATCTCGATGATATTCACCTCCGGATTATTCACCCAAGGTCGATGATAATCCACTTATTAACACATCAACTGTGTTTAATTTTTAATTTTCTTATAAATTAAATACACTCACAGTGTCCATAATTTATTCTCTCAAATAGTTATCAAGACAAACCAGTGTCTTGTCACTCCAACATGATTCTCCTGGGGTTTGAGGGGTTTGGGGCGGGGGGAGGGGGGGTAAAAATTCACTTTTTAAGTTCGTTTACTACTGAAAATACTATACCAGATCTCGCGTTATGTACATTACTTCTTGTTTAAACCTTAAAGTTCGTTGTTGAGGTCGAATTTCATTAAATTTTTTTCCTCCACCCCCACTGCAATATGACTGAATGGCGTTAAACACCAACTGCAGTAACTTCGACGTTTAAGTTTCTTCTTCATTTTTTTTTCTCACATTTAAATGGTCACGTACTCCCCCCGACACCATCTTACAATTTATATACAGTCTGGCGAACCCAGGAGTTCAGTCCTCACTGAGTCCACAGAGGAAAAAATATAAAATAAGAAATGAAATAAAGAGGAAACTTATAAAGCACTGTTAAACGCCACTTCTGCCTCAATTTACATCAGACCCCACACTGTAGTGATCACACGTATCTTTCAGTCCCGCATTATTTTTTAGTTTTTATCATTATTTTGTTCACGTACTTTACGATTTTTTAAGATCTGCCGCATCTCACAGAGTCATAAAAGTCACAGACTTTTTGTATTTGAAGCAGTTATCAACTTTTTTTGAGAGTTTATCTCACTGACCACTATAGTACTGGACCCGCCCAGTCGCTGCCGTCACCGGCATTTCACGCATTACTGCGTCCCACGCTGTAACAAAATTCAACCAAAATTGTTAATCCATTGACATGGAATCACGTATTATAAAGTACTGAAGTGATGGAACTTGATTGGTTGAGTCATTTTACTTAATTGATAATGAAATTATCATGATAAGAGGAAATCTCAAGGGACCTCCGTTGAAGCTGAGGAAAATTCTTCACATTCTCTCCTCAAATTACTCAGTCTAAAGATAATTGCATGATTAACAAAATATTTGATGAAAATATTTTATCTCATCAATATCGAAGCTCTCTCGATAATGAGTGATTCTATAAAAAAAATGGCAAAAATTTTTCTTGTCGCTGCGTAATTTTTGTGCAACAAAGGTCTTTTCGTATATTTTTCCTGAGATTTCTTAATGCTAGGGTAATTTAATTTTTAATAGAAAAACTTGACAGAAGTATTTCATTAGTATTTTTAGAAGAAAATATCAAAAAGCTTTTTCTCTAGCTGAGAAGATACTTTACAAAAAGGTAAAGGAAATTTTCTTCTTGTGTTGAAACAATTGCATCGTGAACACATGTGTCTTCTTCACACATTACATTCACACAAAAAAAATTATTTTGGGCTTTATGATCTCAAATTACAACTCCCAGAGGTCTCAAGTTGAAACTTCAGAACTCAACTCGAAGACTGAAAGTCTCAACTTAAGACTTTCCGGGTTCAAATTAAGATTTTTTTAAAATTTTATGTAAAACATAAAAATCACATACTGACATGAAAAATTTTGTTTGAAATTTTCAAAATTGTGAATAAAGCTTCTCCAAAAACTCAAATTAAGGTTTTCGACAAATCTTATTTTAAGACTTCTAAAATCTGAAAACAACATATTATTTTAGTCGGATGTATGACGGAGTCGGTAAGGTGTCCGCTTACAAAGTCAGAAGTCCTGACTTTGAAGAAGGCTGACACCGGCGAATCATTTCTGGATTCTTTGATTTATTAGTTAAATAATATAAGGAGACCATTAAGAATTTTTTAAATAAACCGTTAAAATACCGAGAGTCATATACATACAGCCTACAGTTTCACGTGTCTCAAGAGCCTAATTGACTACAGTTGATTTTCACCATCGTGTCTACCTACATAGTGATAGTTCGCGTATCCCGGAAACCTAGCTGACTACAGCTGATTCACATCATCATGTATGACAACATATTAGTAATTCACGAGTCTCGAGAACCTAACTGACTACAGTTGATTCTCACCATCATGTGTGATTGCATTCTGATCATTCACTTGAAATACTGTCATAACATCATAATCTGCAAGTTATAGAGGAAATAGTCGTGAGCTCTAACGACAAGAGAGTCGAGAGCCCCTCACTAATAACCTAGTTGTTGATGTGATGTTAAACCTCAACCAAAAAAACAAACAAAATATTGCTTTATTTGGCTGTTCCATCACTTCGATACAAAGTCCTCCAATAATTCAACGAATGAATAAAAATTTAGTACTCACCATGCCCAACAAAACTAACAATCTTATCATGATTATAATTCTGCACATTGACAGCTTCCTCAGGGGCCACATATCTCGCTGAGAAGTCCTCCTTGGGCTGATGATACTTCTCAATGATAGTAGCAGGAGGTGGTCCAGGTATATAAGTATTGGCAGGGGGATGAAACCTCTGTGAGTATCCAACGTAGGGAATTGCTGGCACGATCATAGTTGGATGTGGATGAGGTGGTGGTACATGGAAATTGGGTGGAAATTTCTCGTACCTCATGTGCTTATCAAAGATTGGAGGTGGTCTATCGAAATTGGGTGGTGGTTTGTCGAATATCTGCGGTGGTTCTGGCACAAAAATCTGACGTGTCTCCACCTTCTCCTCACTCTCCTCAGACTGGAGGAGCAATTCGTTAACTTCAAAGCCAAAAGTCAATTCACTTGGTGAGTCATTATTCCTGGACTGATCTGACGACGTTTCATCCATCAGAATAACAGCTGGTCTTGGATTCTTCCTCGTGGAAGGCACCTCACTCTTGATCTCTTTCTCCTTGTTTACAATTTTATTTGGTTTCTTGGTGTCACCCTCGTCCTCCTTGAAACCTTGATTGGGATTATTAATTATTTTCAAAGGTTCTGCTTTCTGAGACGTGACTACAGGCTCTTTTGCCGGGCCTTTTGACGTTCTCTCTATCTTCGCGATGGGTTTCTGTGGGTCAGACTCACTTTGGCTGTGTGAAAAAGACTTTGGATTCTGCTGCTTGGGTTTTGCCTCCTGGTGATCGTCAGACGTCACTGGATTGTGTTTTCGTGGCTCCTCGAGCTGGGGAGTTGGAGGTTTCTTTAGGTCATCCTGGGGGGATTTTTTGAGATGCACATTGTCCATTTGTACTACAGGAGTCTGGGGCACTGGTGGTGTCTGCTGATAATTCCTTCTGTTTGATCTTTGATAATTCGTAATTCTGATGTTTGCATTGGGATCCTTGGGACTCGTCTCCGTTGTCTCCTCCAGGGAATTATTATTTCCAGCATTCTTGAGCTTAGGGGTCACTGGTGCCTCACTCTGATGAACACTGTGATTGGTGTTAGCAGTCAAGTTCTTCTGCTCCTGCACGTACTTTATCACCTGAATCTTCTTGTTAATAGCCTCCTCCCTTGCCTCAGCCTTCTTACACTCTGACGCATTCTTCGCCTTGGTGCTTGTTGGCGATGGTGGCTTATCAAAACTCAAACTAAATCCCTGCACGTGATTGGAATTGGCAAAGTTTTGTTGGCGTAATTTACGATCAGATTGTTGAAGCTCGTCGAGACTGGGATAGTAGTCCTGGGGGAATTTGTCTGGTTCTGATGGTGATTTACCAGGCACTGATGGCCACGTTCCAGTGTTCAACATGTTTGGTACCATTGTCGAGATATTGAGGACGGAACTCGGTGACATATTGATCGTTGCCATGCGGGCAATGTCGGCGTAACTGGCTTGTGGTGTGCCTGATGATGGCGGATTTTTATTCATGTTGTGTTTTGTGTTTGATGTCACTGGGAGTGAGTGAACTGAGTCGAGATCACTACTGTCTGATTTGTCACTGTAACAGATGTTAAAATCATGAATTATGAAAATTGTGATGTAAAAGGATAATTATGAAGAGGTAAGCACTCGTGATATTGAAATTCCATAGAACATCAAATGAAATCTCAGAAATTTTATGACTTTTTTAAATTCTCAGCTAATTCCTTCCCAAATCGCATTTCGAATTCATTACAATATGCGGAGAAAGATATATGTGAACTGTCCCCATTTGGGAAATTCTACTGCAGTCGCTTGGAAATGTAAATTTCTCAGGGTGTAACTGGAGAAATTGGATTTCTGTTTCATCACTTTACTACTGAATCTATATTTTCTTCATCTATTTTTTATTCGTTACGAATTATATTCAATTGGATTTAATTTATTTCCAACCATATGGCTGTTACGCCTTTTAAATATACTATATATTAGAACAATAAACTAATATAGTAAACAATAAGATAAATTTCAAATAAAACAAAAAGTTAATGAAAACACTTCACTATTGAATTAAAAATGTGTTAAAAAATGCTTCTTTTATTTCTCTTCAAACCCTTCTTCTTATTACTTCAATAAAAATTTCATTCCTGAATTCCTTCACAAAGCTCATTTCGAATTCATCGCAATACACGGAGAAAGACATGTGAACTGTCCCACTTTTGGAAGTTCCACTGCAATCACTTGGAAACATAAATTTCCGAGAGTGTCATTGGAGTGTCATGGAAACCTTCCAAATCATTTGAAATTATCTGAAATAATCTGAACTTCTTTTTTAATACTGTGAAATTCTCTGAAGTATTTTGAAATCCCAGAAAACATTTCAGAACCCATTAATTATCGAAGTCATACAATCCAATGTACAAGTTTTCTCGGAGTGATTACCTCTTCGGATAATTCTTGAATAAAAAATAGACGAATGAAGTCAATAGTGAAGTTACATTTTCATTCAGCCTGAAATCATCTGGATGAAGTTCTTTTATTGGAAAAATATTAAAGGAATTTTTTTTTGTGGAAAAAGTAAAAAACATTTCGTGGCATTTTGTTCTAATGTCGCCCATTACTGGGATAATTTCACATTCATGGGGTGAGAAATTGGATTTTTGTTTCATCATTTCACTACTGAATCTATTTTTGTCATCTATTTTTTATTCATTGCGAATTATATTCAATTGGATTCAATTGATTTCCAACTATATGGCTGTTACGCCTTTTATAGTTTTACATTTCCATGTTGTCCATACGTTGTATTTGAACTGCGTTTGCCACAGAACAATAAACTAAGTTTCAAACAAAACAAAAAGTTAATGAAAAGACGTCACTACTAAATGAAAGACGTATTAAAAAATGCTTCTTTTCTTTCTCTTCAAACGCTTCTCTTTACTTTCATAAACATTTCAATTCACCAACTCAGATTAATTATTAATAAATTGATGACTGGTGAATGATGAACTTGAAGTGAATCGCATAAGAGCCAGTGCAGATGAAAAAAAAGTACTCTCTAATCACTGAAAAGGGGATAAAAAAATAATTACCTCGGTGGCATGCTGCTAGCGCTCTTCCGCCTCAATTCGGGTGACAGTGGTGTTCTATACTCATTAGTAAAGCCCCTCGGCCTCGGCAAATATGACGCTGAACTTCTCAAATTTTGTGCCCTCCCCCCACTGGAGCTTCTCCTCTGTTTTTTACTCTTCTTCTTCTTCGTAACAACCAAAAACTCTGGCTCCTGTTCAATTTCAGCATTAATTTTCCGGTTAGAATTTCTCCTCGCGGTACTAGTATACTCATCTCCAATATCATTGCAGTATATCGACTGACCCTCCTCAGTGCCCCAGGATCTCCTATCCCCCCGGCAATCAGCCACAGTATCCCCGGTGCTGCGTTGTTTAGCACGCCTGAGTGTCCCATTAACAGATCCATGTTGACTTGAAACACTGCTCGATCCACTGGAGCTGCTCTTTTCAGCTGTGAGATCCTCGAGTTTAGTCTTTGATATTTCCTCGAGGGAATTTGACTTTTGCAGCTTCGACGGCAGTTGTTCACGCTTGGAATCCTTCTCCCTGCTGCGAGGCTTTGCCCCAGTGGATGTTTTCACCTTAACAGTGCTTCCCCCACTGGTCTTGCCCTTTTTCCCTTTAGACTCTTTATTCTCGATGAAGTTAATAAGACTGTCGATGTCCTCATTTCCCTGATGCCCCTCAACATTCTCAGCCTTATATACTATGACATTTGGCTCCTGTGTGTGCTTTCTACGTGTCTTCTTGCGTTCACCATTGTGCCCCTGTACAGCATTACCATTCTCATCCAGTGATTTTTTATCAATCAACGTTCCATCTTTATTTATAATTCCTATGTTCTGCATTGGTGCTCTCGATACAGCCATTGCAGGCAAATGCATTATTGGTAGAATACTTGAGCCAACTTTTCCCTGCTGTCCACCTGACATTGTACCATTGACAACGCACTTGACATTGTTGTACGATTGTAATTGAAGGGTGCCAGATATTTCGGGGCCATTAAATGATATCTTTGGTTTATCCTGTTTACCACTGTGTTCACGAAGTGAATAATCAACACCTGAATCAACAGGGGTCTGGACTGTCTCGAAATGTGTACGGGAGATCAGTTGCATGGGTCTGCGTGGCTCAATGATCTTCATCTCAGTGCCCTCATCGTCGTTAATGTCCAGGGCTGAGTGGGGTCGTTGTGTACCGCCACTCGATGCACCCGAGGTCACCACATTTCTGTCGCTCAATCCATTCACCTGTAGTTAGAGAATATTTTAGGGGATTTATTTCCCTGGAGAATGTTTATTCTGTGCGTTCAATGTGTTTCGCACGGAGAGAAAAGTTGGATGAAAATTATCTGGAAAATCGTGGTGAATTTTAATATACGAAAGGTTATCGTGGAGCGAAATTGTAATTCAAGAAAAAATCCTTTTTGCGGAGGATATCTTGCCATTTCAGTAGCGAAGCGGTAACTCGGTTAAGGGGAGGCTACTATGAGTTTTAAAAATCGCGGGCTATTGGAGTGAGATTTCTCATGCATTGAAGATCGATTACGTATATTTAAAAACGAATCATTAGGGCAAAAAATCAATGGTTTATTGTTCGTTTGCTTCGCAGACGCTTCAAATGCTAAAAGTAGTCCAGGGCCTCCAATTTTTGAGCTACAGAGGTTTTTTTTCAAAATTAAAAACAAAAGTGTACAATAGCAATTACGACTTAGTTTTTTGGAATTCAACTTCCACACAGCTAATTTTGTCTTGTTTAATATAAAAATTGGCGCCATTCACGTAAAATAGGCAGAAAAACTATCCTTAAAATAAATTTCGCTAGCACAAAAGTCTGAGGTCCTGGACTATTTTCAACGAACAATGTACAATTAGTTTTTTTTCACGGATTATGAATTTTTAGACATATATAATCGTTGTTCATTGTATGAAACATCTCATTCCAATAGCCTGCGACTGTTAAAACTCATAAGAGTCTCCCCTTAAAATCGACTTAGCTCTTAGCTGAGTTTTCGAAAAATATCTCTAACTTTAAGGGAGATAGCGAAATTTTCATAATAACCTTTTTTGTAGCTCTTAATTCACTCTACAAAAAGCTATTGCTATTTGCCTTAAATTCCAAGATATTTACTGAAAACTGACCAATAGTCAAAATCGACTAAAGGCTCGAGCAGATTATCTTTCGGACGTGATCTTGGTTGTTTTTTTTATTTTGATAATCTGAAATGATCTACTCCAATTGCTATTCAGTTTTGCTTAGCCCTGGAGTCTTTAAAAATTATGATTGTACAATCAAAAAAACGTTGAAAAAAAAGCTGGATATTTTTAAAGTGCGTTTTTGAATAATATTGGGAAATTAACCCAATAGGGAGGAAATTGCAAATTAATAATTTGATGTATCTAATGGATGTTAGGTCGTCATTTGTCACAGTAGTCAGTGGCTGTCAGACCGTTAGTTACTATGATAAATTATCCATTCACTATTTCCCCTCTATCGGACTTATTTCTTAATCTTTATTAAAAACACTCTTTGAAAATATTTAGTTTTTTTCTATTTTTTTTTAGTTGTATAATCATAATTTTTAGGGACTCCTGCGTGATGTAAAATCCAATGGAAATTGTGATACATTTTACATTATGAAGAAGGAAAAACAATCGAGATAATTTTCAAAAAATAATCCACTCGGGCCTTAAACTGTTTTACCGCTTCGCTGCGTATTTGTTCGGTAACAAAAAACATTGATGCATGCAAAAATTACTGTTCTCTGTAAAAAATATTGAAAACAAAAATTGCACGTACCGATAAGGTATTTCTTTCTGACTCCCGTGTGAAAGATGTGGGGACAGACAGAAGTAAAATTTTAGCATAGCGCGTTTGGTAAAAAAATCGTCCGCATATTCAGAAATGTGAATGATTACGCAATATTGGGTAATTATTGACGTTCATGGGATAATTTTTGCCGGAATAAATGGGAAATTTTACAGTTTTGGCATAAATTACCCTCACGTTAAGGCAATTTTCCCGAGTCAGCGGAGAAAAATCAGTAGCGAAGTGGTAAAAGGGTTTAAGTCGACTCATCTCTCAGTTGGGTTTTTTAGTAATATTTCCGAATCTAAGGGAGATAGCGGAATTTTCGTAATTACATTTGTTGTAGCTCTCAATCGGCTCCACAAAAAAGGGTATAACAAAAATTTTGCTATCTCCCTTAGATTCCGAGATATTGATTGAAAACGGGTCCGTAGTCAAAATTGAGTTATACCGTTTTAGCACTTCGCTATTGAAATTCACTATTCGTCTCACACTTGTTTGCAATTTTTCTCCAACTTTTTTTCTCCATGCTGGGACGAGTTTAGCTGCCTCTGGGGGGGACTGAATCATCGGCGAAACTCGTCTCTTTACTTCATTAAACCACAAAATATCGATGATTTCATACGTTTCTTCGTAGGGTTCTTGGGGGACTGGGTTGTCAGCGAAACCTACGGGGTATTGAATTGCATTCCCTTTGACAGGATGAAATCGTAACTGATATTATTTACCTCGATATCAATTACCATGTATTCAGGTTTGTAATCTGGCGGTGGATTGTCCGACTCGAGCATCTCATTTGTCGTTTGTTTCACCTTTAAACACTTTTTATCTGGTTCAATATCACTGACCGCTATACTAGCAACGGTTGTATCACGTTTAATGTCCTTTTTATCTTTATCCTTGTCCTCTTTTTTGGTGGTACAACCGTAGGTCGGCTTGTCCAGGGATTTTGATTTTTCCTTGTTTGTCCAGTCGTATGATGCTCTCTCCTCGTAGAAGCTCTTCTGATTTTGTAACAATTGGAGAAAATAAAGAATTGATTAGTTTCTGTTTCATAATTCGGTTGATTATGAGTGTAGGCGGCCGTTTCATTTTAAGTTCATTTGATTTATGGGAACTTTTAGCTAATTAATTTGGTAAACGTACACTGAGGCAAAAAAAGTTCTCTGAGAAGTACATCTTTACTTGTATCAGAAACCCATGGCTCGAAAATTGACAAGAAAAATTTGAAAGAAAAAACGATTGACTTTTTGTGAAATGGTAATAATTCATTGAACTGTTGCTGAAACTGGATAACTTTATTTCCTTTTTAAGTACCCTTTTTTCTCTTGCACGAATTCTTTTTCTTGGTGACGAGATCAATTGATGTATTTATAAATTAATTATAAATCAATTTAGGGAAGAGTGGGACAAAATGAAACAATAGAAAAACAACTCTTTGGCGCAATGCAAGCAAAAAAAAAAAATTTTATTAAAAATTTTTTTTAAATCAACTTTTGTTTGTTAACTTTTTTTTATTCTTGGGAGCGCTAATGAAAATAATAATTTTCCATTCAGTAGAATGGAAAATTATTGAGAAATTTTGACGGCAGAATATTTTTCCAATGGATTAATTGAACAGAAAATGAAACAGCAAAATCCAAAGTCCAAAGTTAAGGCCCAGGAGGAGACCCAGACGGGGAAAAAGGCAAATGTGATGCTGAATTTGACTCGAATGAAGAGAGAAAATTGTAATCAGCCTAATCTAATCAATTGAATTACAAGACGAATAGAAAATTATTATTCTCATCAGTTCTCCCAATAATAAAAAAAAGTTAATAAACAAAAGTTTCTAAAAAAAATGTTTTTCTGCTTGAATTGTGTCAAATAGTCGTTTTCGGCTGTTTCATTTTGCCCCACTCTCCCCTATTATTAAAAAAGTTTTTTGAGAAGTCCGTTTTTAATTGTATCAAGAAACCCATGGCTCTAAAATTGACAAGAAAAATTGTAAAGAAAAAATAATAACTTTTTTTGAAATGTTAAGAATTCATTGAACAGTTGCGGAAACGGAATAACTTTTATTTCCTTGTAAAGCACAATTCTTCCTTAGAATGAAAGGAATTATTTCGACCGTATATATTCATATTCTTTATTATCCTCAGGCTATCTACTCGGTCAAACCTTATAGCATCCTGCTTTCCATGTAATTTATACCTTAAAAAGCATCTAAGGCTTGACCGAGTAGATGGCCCGGGGGTAATGCAGAGCACAATTCTTCCTCTTGGTAATGAGCCTAAGGAGAGCGCAATTGATGCATTTATTTCTGAGTTATGAACATTTTAAAAAAAGTAAAATTGTCATTTTGCCCCACCCTTCCGTAATTAGTCGTTGATAAGAAGGTAATGTTGTAAAAACTAAATTCGTTGCAAAATGTATTCCGAATGAAGCTGAATATCCATAATTTTCTTTTCAAACTTTCTCCACACCGTTTAACTATCTTTTACAGTTTGGTAGAGACCGCCTTATAGATTTAACGATTTTCAATCATCAACTTTGTCAATTAAATTGTATGAGAAAAATTTGAGAAAATCATGAATATACAGTGTCATTCAAATTACATCGGGCACGGAATTATTATTTTTTTAAACAGTCGTTGTTTATAGAGAAATAATTGAAATTGTTTAAACTTTCGGAAAGCTTACTTTTTTAGATATAAAGTAGATTTCTGATAAAATTCTGAATATGACTAAAATGGTTATGATTCCGAACAAATGATTTTTACAGCGGAAAATTGATTATTTATAAATTCTTTACAGAAAATGCTCGTGATTTTCAAAAGTTGCAATGTTTAAATTATTTAAACGATCTTCCTCCAAAAGTAAACTTTCTAATTTTTTTTTCAGATTAAAAAATTTTTTTCTAACAATTCAATATTACGTGCGCAAGGTTCCGAGTTCAAATCTCGGTCGGGAAGAATGCTGAGATCTAACCATATTTGAAGTCTTGATCATCATCGTAATATACTCAACCGAGTCAAAGCCATATAAAATAACAATAAAAAAAAAACAATTCAATATTGAGATACAAATTCAGAGACTGCAAAGTTTAACAATTAAACGATTGCAAAATGTCCGGAAACTTGGGGTGAATTCGGGCTCAAATAAAAGCTCTGATGTTCGATTACAAAAGTAGGAAAGCATTTCACTGGAGAAAAAATAGCCAAAGTACTTGGATATCCTTAATTTCCAAATTCAATGATTGTAAATCTCTGAATCCACAGTGTAGCTCATATCAAACTGTGAAAGGTACTTCGATATCTTCAATATTCAAATGGACATATTTGACTTTTTTAATCCATCAGTAGCCGCGCGATCCTCCCGTTCTTTAGACGCACTTTAGGGAATCTCTCACGTTACGGGCACACTAGATAGAGAGAGGCTCGTGCTCTGGGTTCTCACTGTATTCCCTCACTAATACGATCAGCGTACCCGAAGCTGTAACACGTCTCCCCACTAACTTTAAGCGCGCGATGAGAGAATCTCTCATGACTACTGATTTACACCAACAAAATTTTTTAATAAATTTATTGGTGCATTCTGAAGGACATTTTCTTACACCAGGAGGATGCGAGATAATTACTTGAGGCATATACAGATAGTCCCTTTGGGTTTTTACAATTTTAAGGTATATTTCCTATAGGGCAAACAGGTCAACTTCTGGACGGGGGTTAGTTTCTGGACGATTACAACTTGCATTGAATATTCCATAAATAAAATGAACATTCTACTGATTATTTCCCCTTTCGATAATATTACTCGTGTATAATCATGTGAACAATTATTTTTTCTATTGATTGACATTTAATAAATAAAAAAAATATGGCCTAGTCGTCTAGAAATTAGGGATTTTGGCTGCATTCAACTATTTCTTAATTTAATTATTTTCTGTTTTGTTATTTTCACTTAAAATAATTTTCTTCGCGAATTAAAACATTCTTGAAGGTATAGATGCCACCATATCCTCATTTAGGTGATTCTTTTATTTTAGATCCTACCACGAAACTAGAATTTCGGCAGCGTGAACCGCCCAGCGATTGGCCCGTTAACATCCTACTACCTTGCAAATTTTTTGTGAAAGTATCATAGCGCGCCTACTGTCGTTTTCAAAATGGTATGAAGTCATAAAATGATCAATGAAGTTAAATCATTCTCCTTTTCAGGAAAGAAGAATTATTCCGTAAGAACTATTTGGTGTACACTGGGAAAAGTTTTTTGAGAAGTAGGCTTTCACTTGTATCAAGAAACTCATTGCTCGAAAATTGACAAGAAGAAAATATCTTACACTGACAAAAGAAACCTTTTGTCAAGAGATTTTGTACTTGTTCGAAACATGAGAGGCAATAGGTTCACAGTCAAATGGCCTTTACATTAAAATATTTTGGATTTGAGGCTGAAAAACTATTGAATGAATTGACTCAACTAGACTAGATTTGAGAAATCACTTTCTCATAAACGTCACTTTCGCGTCATGAAAAAAATTATCCTCGTCTTTGGGACAAGGGCAAAATCTATTGACGAAAGTTTTGTTTTCTAATCAAAGAGTTAAGAGTTTTATTAAACTCTTTTTCAACAAAAAATTTTTCTGTCAGTGTAACTCATTATTTAGGCTCAAATGAATGGCTATTAATGATTATGTTTATCAGAATTTTGTTAATTAGTTTTGCGAAGCTTTTATAGTTCAGAGGACGGAATTAATATTTCCTCTAGATTCTTAAATGAAAAGACCTATAGTTAGAGAATGAGTAATTTTGGAGGAAGATTTCGTAAGATATTTCTGGTAGGAAATTTTGTGGAATGAAAAAAGGGTCTTTCGACATTTACTTTCTAATAAAAAAAGTTCGAAAGATATTAGTAAAGTAGGCTGTCAACAATTCTTGAATCTACGTTCGAAGTCTATCTTTCGTATCTCGTTAAACATTGATTCATCTTGATAATGAGTGGTTTCAGGAGAAAATGTGGACAGTTTTCGTTGGAAATTTATTCAGTTATCAGGAAGATCTCTTGTTATTGTCCACTAAATTTGGGATATTTATAGATTAATTTGTATTCAATTACAAATTTTGTATTAAATAATCTCCTAAGTCGATTTTCCTTGTCTTCTTAAATATTCATTGATCTTGGCAAGAAGTGATTTTAGGGAAGAATAAAGAAACATTTCCTGTTAGAATTGTTGAATGCACAAAAGGCTTCTGAGTCAAAGGCTGAAAGGTCATATCTGAAAAATTTATGAAGTAAGCTTTTCGCTATTTTCCACTAAAGCTGAGATATTCTCAGAATAATGGGTAGTAAATATTTGGATAATCTCCTGAGTTGATTTCTCACATTTTGTTAAATAATGATTCATTTTGATAACAAATTTTTTTAGGGCAAAACGAAGAGATATTTTCTATTAGAAATGCATTCAGTTACAAAAAAGTTCTTCTGCCATTTTCCACTAAATCTAAAATATCCACAGAATAATTTATAATAAATATTCGGATTATTCCCTGAGTCGAGTTCCCACATTTTATTCCACTACAAAAAGACCTAAATGTAGAAAGGCTAAAGGTCATAGATGCATGTGAAAAATTAACAAAAAAAGCGTTCTGACATTTTCCATTAAACCTAACATATTTATTCACAGAATAATTTATATTGAATGTTGAGATAAACTTTTCATTTTCGATTTTCCTCATCTCATTAAATATTGATTTAGATTTATAACCAGCAACTTTGTGGGCAGACGCAGAGATATTCTTTATTAAAAAATGTATTCAGAGAATACTGTCTATTATGTATTTGGATAATCTATTCTGTCGATTTTACTCATGTTATCAAATATTGATCTATCTTGATGACCAGTGCTTTTACGGGATAACGAAGAGCCTTCTTGTTCAGAAATTTATTCGGTGACAAAAAAGTCTTCTGAGATTTTTCACTAAGCCGGAGATATCCACAAAACAATTGGTATTGAATGTTGGGATAATCTCCTGAGTCGATTTTTCTCACACTGTTAAATATTGATTCATCGTGATAGTGAATGAGATTAGAGGAAAACGATATTATTATAATTGAATATTTATTCAACCCCATCGTTCGAAAGATATTGGTGAAAAAATCTGTATAGAAATTCTCAATTCAAGTTCTCAGTTGACTCTTTATCTTTACTTATCAAATCTTGATTAATTATAGTGAAATGTGTGATTTTATGAAAAAATATCGGCAGACGTTTGGTCTAAAATTTATTCAACTACAGAAAATCGCTTTCGACATTTCCCTTTAAAGCTGCTGATTTTGCAGATATTCACAGAATAATTTGCATATAATTCGCATAATCTCTTGCCTCATCATGATAATAATTGATTTTAGAATCATAAAACATTTTTTATTCTAAGCTTCATCAGCGAAAAAAGTCTCAAAATTTTCGTCTAAAACTACCCGCCTCCTGGATAATTCTACAATCAACACAGAAGAAGAGTGGGATAAAATCGATCTTCTTCAATCATCCATATCTCCCGATATCAAATTGTACGATTTGAATGGATCAGGTTTCATTTTAAACCGTAAAATAGTATTTTTTCTAGCTCATATGATGGCAGACCTCGCCTTCGGCGCGTGCTGCAACCTCATATTCGCTATAAGTTTCTTTCGACCTAGTGACGAAGAACATTATTCCAGTCGAGTGACAAACATTATTTTAGAGATTATTTTAGAGATTCACGCACGCGCAGCATCTGTAAAGCGCTGCCTTACGACTGAAATTGTCAAAAAATACTTTGAAAGTGAAAAGTTATTAGGTGTACAAATAAGTTTTAGGACACTTCGATTCCGTGTCATGAAAGTAATTCAAAGTTACCGCTTACATATGATATGGTGGGGTTTGTTATGTAGTATCAAAACATAAGGGAGTCATAAACATAACCTTAAATTCTGTGAATAAAACATGCAGACCGATAAGCTATTTATTACATTGCATTCGCTATGAATTCAATCAAGGAAAAAACTGTTAGGAAAGCATGTCAATCGATTTGTTCTGTTCTTGGGGACAACATTGTATCTAAAAGTACATGTGAGTATTGGTATAAGCGATTTAAAGAAGGTGATTTCGACGTTAGTGACCGTGAACGTACCGGGGCCCCTGTAAGGGTGGATGACCAGGAACTGCAAGCGTTGCTGAATGAAAACTCTTGCCAGACGGAAAAACAACTTGCAAAACAGCTTGGAGTAACTCAACAGATCGTTTCCTATCGCTTAAACGCAATGGGAAAGATTCGAAAAGGAACAAAGTGGGTGCCACACTTTTTGACTCAAGAAAATAAAGATAGCAGACTTGACATATGTCTGAATCTTTACAATAAGCAACATAGAAAGTCTTTTTTGTGGAAAATTGTGACCGGCGAAGAAAAGTGGATTTATTTTGATAATCTAAAACGCAAATATCATTGGGTTAACCCCGGGGAGCCAACGACATCGACACCGAAGCGCAATATTCACTGTAAGAAGATCATGCTGTGTATATGGTGGAATATGAAAGGCATTATGAACTTTTGAAGTCTGGCGACAGTTACTGCCGATCGCTCTCGTCAATAATTAATAAGATTGTACCAAGAAATTGAACAAAAAGGTCCATTTACTGGCAAAGGAAAACGTCCAGTAAAATTGCTCCATGACAGCACCAGGCCTGATGTGGGTAAACCGGTCAAAGATACGTTAATGGCTCTTGGATGGGAAGTTGTGCCACACCCGGCGTATTCACCAGACTTAGCTCCAACTGATTTTCACTCATTTCGGAAGATGCAAAACGAATTGACTGATGTGCGATTCAAAACATTTGAAGAAGTGCAAAAATGGGTCGATAATTTCCTCGCCTCGCAAGATGAAACTTTCTTTGCGGAAGGTATCCGTGAATTACCTAACAGATGGCTGAAGGTCATTCAAAATGATGGAGATTATTTTGATGAATAAATGTAGTTTACTTTTTTTCGAAAATGAATTTTAAATTTTTTACAAAGTGTCCTAAAACTTATTTGTACACCTAATAATTAAAAAATTGCAACTTTTGTAAATTATGAGCATTTTCTATAAATAATTTATAAATAGTCAATCACCACAAAAATCATTTGTTCGAAATCGTAACAAATTTATTCATATCCAAAATTTTACCAGAAATCGATTTTATGCCTAAAAAAATTAGGTTTCCGAAAGTTTGAACAATTTCAATTATTTATTTATAAATCACGAATGTTTAAAAAAATATTAATTCTGTGCAAAATGTAATTTGAATGACACTGAATATTCATGATTTTTTTCAAATTTTTCTCACACAATTTAATTAATAAATTTGATCATTGAAAATGGTTGAATCTACATAGTGTGGTCTGTACTAAACTGTAAAAAATACTTGGATATCCTTGAGTCGATTTTGACTATTAGTCTGTTTTCAATGAATATCTCGTGATCTGAGGCAGATAGCAGAATTGTTGTTATAACCTTTTTTTGTAGAGCGAATTAAGATATAAAAAATGTTATTATAGAAAATTCTCTATCACCCTTAGATTCAGAGATATTCCTCGAACACTTGGCTAAGAGCTAAGTCGACTTAAATCGTTTGAATGCTTCGCTATTGAATTGGTTTCTTTTCATTTTGAAAAAAATGTTTCTTGGTTGGTTACAAACATTGAATACATTTTCCCTGATGAGAAGTTCCTTGAGAGGTGCAAACGTTAGCATTTGAAAGAAGATTATTTGTATTCGTCATGCTCGATTGTTGAAACCGCATGTATGAACGTTATGGCTGAGGCGAGTTGAGGACAAAATATTAGAACGTTTAGAATAATTTTTAGATAAAATTATTATTAAGCGTCATTGTATGTTTGTTCTAAGATACAGTGTGATAATTTAACTTTCTACTGTGTAAGAATGACAGGTTAAATTCTGTTCTTTTGTAATTTCATTTTAGATTGAATAAATTGCTCTGATGAATAGCTCTTAGTGAATTCGAAACGTCGGCACAGAGAAAATTGTTTTGTTATGATTCTTTCTTTCTCATAGATTCGTTTAAGGGGATACATCGGTGAAATCTGAAAGTCTTCACTGGGCCTTGGGACTCTGACCAGTTTGTAATATATGACGAAATATGGGAATAACTAGGAAAAACCTCGGACCCGATCGATTTTGCCCAGTACAACCACGAAAAAGTTCATTTTTTCCTGTTTTTACCTTCAAAATGCTCCTTGCGTCGTAACTTTCACATGATTTTAGCTTTTATTTTCAAAATGTTCGTTATACTCCAAAGAATAAAGTTAAGCATCCGTTTTACTTTATTCGTAATATATCATGAACAAATGAATTTTGAATTTCATGAATTTTTCGCGCCTCTAGAATAGTACTAAAAATTCATTGTTTCATAACAATTGGATTACGCATGATTACAATGTTCAATTTTCAGTCCTACTCTGCGTCCTAAGGCCCATTGAAGACTTTCAAATTTCACCGACGTATCCCCTTAAACTCCTGTGATGACCGTTACGGCTGGGAGAAGTTGAGGAATAAGGAAGAATTAAACACGGTTGAATTGTTATTAAGTCGATAAAATTACCTTTTTGTCGAAAAGTAAATCGAGATTAGCAAGTGGTGCAAGACTGTGTGTTGCGTTTACATTGGAGGGTAATGAACCACCCTCCCTCTGTCTCGCTGACACACTAGGTCCGGTGTGTTTCTTTCCTTTTCTCCTGCCACCACCATATGTGTGACTGGAACCAGACGTGAGGTAGGCAAAGCTACTGTCAAATTCAAAACTAATCGGTTGGGCCAAATTTTGCAATGAACCACCGTGAGTCAGCCTTTCAGAAACCGAGTCACGCTTGTGACGACGTCTATTTGACCCTGGTATGCATCTAGTGCTCGTCACCACACGACGTCCCTCCTCAGTCTCATCGACTTCAGCTTCCTGAAGAAGTTCCTTTAAAAAATAGTCGGAGTTAACATAGAAAATCATTTGAACTTCCTTCAGATCATCACGTTGTTACGTTAATTCATTATTATTCTCATTTAATTACTTTGAATAGATTCGACTTTCCCTCACGATCCCTGGTGGAACCCCTGTAGCTAAACGCCTCCTCGAGGAGCGCTCGCAGCTCTCTCTCGTTCAACGTCGAGAAGGTACCTGGTTCCTCCTGAAATAAGTAAAGCCATCTTTTCATCGTGATCGAAGAATTTTTCATAGGAATTCTTATAGAGAATTGGGACACAACCTATACGAAAAATTCTATGCAAGATTCCTTACAGAAGAAAATTCGATTTCTGTTTTATTAGAATCTTTCTTTTAGCAAAATAAAATTGAATAAAAACTTCAGGTTCTGCATAAGAATAATTTATGGAATTTCGCGTACATGAAATTTATAATATTGGAATTCGGAGTTTTACGCCCCTCCTCCGCCCTGTTGAGGTAGTGCCTATGACAATTGTTCGAATTATCCGCAGAAATATCTGATGGGAATTCTCACTTAGGAAATTCCATCTGTGAAAAATTGAAAACCTAAATAAAGTCAAATTTCCCATGCGGCAAATTCTGTAAATAATTCTTCATACAAGAGTACTTTATGAGGGGAGAATGGGGCAAAATGAAACTGCCGAAAAGCGACTATTTGACGCAATTCCAGGAAAAAAAAATTTTATCAACTTTTGTTCATTAGCTTTTTTCATTATGGGGAATACGCATAATAATAACTTTCTATGCGCTAGAAAAGAACATGCGATGCGGAAATATCACTAATATTCAAACTCCCTATAAAGGGTAGCGACTACCTCTACAAATGAATCCCACTCCCCTGTTAGATCTCGATCTCAACGTCCCCTGACTATCCAGCAGCCAAACTAAGGCCTCGTCAATCGGTAAGACTATGTTCTCTCCTCATTCAAAACTCCGGAAAGTTTTTTATATATTTCTTATATCGAGACGACAATATTATTAATGTTCACTACTTTTATCCAGTTTTCTTTTCAAGTATTACGAGATATTTCATCTATAATTCAATTTATTAGATTAGAGGGACTACACTTTTTTTTTCATTCGATTGAAATTCAGGATTAAATTTTCCTTTTTCCTCCTCTGAGTCTCCCCCTGGGTCATCCTCTGAAATTTGGATTTTGTCGTTATATTTTCTTTTCAATTAATCCACTGACAATATCTTCTCGCGTCAAAACTTCTCAATAATTCCATTCTACTGAATGGAAAATTATTATTCTAATTAGTAGTCCCACTAATAGAAAATATTGGTAAACAAAAGTTGATAAATTTTTGTTTTTGTTGAATTGCGTCAAACAATCGTTTTTTTCAACTGTTTCATTTTGCCCCACTCTCCCCTAGTAATTCTGGTTCTACGTAACCAAGATTTATAGAATTTTTTTTTACAGGATTTTTCCTGTAGTGAACTTCCGTCAGAATTTCTGTCCTGTGCATCGTTCTATAGTGGGGGTCCCTGTAGAAAATGCACGAATTCTGCATACGTATACTTATTGAGAAAATTCGATCCATCAAAAAAATGGGCGCTTTTCGTATGTGTAGAAAACTTTACTTTTTCCCTACAAAAATTCATTATAACAGGATGTAATAGAAATTCTAGTCTCACATGAGAGAAATTCATTCATTGCTTTCTACACAAAATTCATGAATCCTTTACAGATCGATCTTATCGATTGTTTTGAATTCGTGTCTCAAAAATGAAATTCCCGGGCCAACGAGAATTGTTATTATTTCGAATGCGAAAAGTTCTAGCAAAAATTCTTCAAGGGGAGTATTTCATGGAAATTCTAATCCCACATGAGTAAATTTCACTCAACTGTTACTACAGAAAATTCATGATTCCTCTCCAGATCCATTTCACAGAATTTATTTATTATTGTTATCATTCATTGTTTTATTTGTTTATTCTCCAAAAATAAAATGTCTGAACCAACAATCATTCTAATCATGTCACTAAATTATTCATCGGAAAGTTACATTTCAAATACAAAAAGTTGTACCAAAAATTCTTCATTTGAGAGTATTTCGTGGAAATTCTAATCTCACGTGAGAAAATTTATTTCCTTTTTTAGTAAAGAAAATTCATGAATCCTTTTAGATCCATTCTATAGAATTTCTTTCTTATTGATTGTTCCTAGATTTCCGTTTGTCAAAAAATATCCTCGAATCAACAATGGTTTTCATAATTTCCCTAAATTATTCGTAAAAAAGTAACATTTCAAATACGACAAGCTCAACCAAAAATTCCTTACAGGAGAGTATCTGATAGAAATTCTAATCCTACAGGGAAAAAATTCATTGAATTGTTCCTATATGAAATTCCTAATCTTCCACAAATCCATCGGACCGAATTTTTCACTTCATGCCTTAAAAAAAAAATTCCTGAGTCAATGAGAATTCTCATCACGTCATTCAATTATTCATAAAAAAATGAACGTTTCCTATACGACAAAAGTTATACAACAAATTCTTGATAGAATGGTATTTAATAGAGAACCTAGTATCACATGAAAATAACTCATTCAACAGTTCCCATAGGAAATTCATGAAGCAGGTTCATTCTATAGAGTTTTCCAAAGCGTGCCTCAAAAATAAAATTCCCGAGTCATCAAGACTTTCTGTCATTTCATTAAATTCCCCCTCGATTGGTCACTCTCAAACGTTCCAATAACACGAGATCAAGTAATAAAGCAACATAACTGATACGAAACCTTGAGTTGACAAAAGAAAAACTACAAAAATTCCAAGTTGTATATCTATTAAAAATACCCACGATTACAAAGCAGAAAAAGTGTTATTACGTAATGGATGCTTGTATATGTGGCCAGCAATGACACTGGATTCCAGAATACACTATTTTCCCCTGTCATTGCTCTGCCCCGAATGTAACACTTTCATCACGCAATATACCCCGTCGATGATGTAAACAATAAATACCCAATACCCAAAACCACTTACAATCACAATCGATTATCAATTCCCTTTACATTTCCCTATTCTCAACCAGAGTGAGACCAGAGACAGTCAATTTGTGATGTTATATGGCAATAAAATCACGATTCCAGTGATTCAAGAGGCTAATAAGGGAAGTGTGTCGAGTCTTTCCAAAGTTTTGGAGTCATTCCATAAATAGAATAAGTGTTACAGCACCATTTGTAATGGTCCACCATGATATCACATGAAATAATCCCCTCGACTTCTTCAGTCATGAAATTGGGAAGGCGAAGATAAACTCGATCGAATTCTCCAGAATAATGTTCTCCCCATAAAGAAAAGAAAATGAATAGAAAAAGAAAAAAACCAGTGACACACTAGATGCCATCTACACACACAGCAGTGAGAATTTTAAGGGTTTCACTTATTGGATCTGCTGCGATCTGAGCTGTGGCGACGGTTGAAAAAAAATGTCTCTGTACCCACGACACTGCGACACACAATTATCCATGAATTTGAAGTATTTGTGTATTTTTATAATGACATAATATAACGCAGCCATTGTCACGATTCCTCAGACCCCCAATTCTCCGAGAAAACAACAATTTCTCAGATTGCAAGCAAAAAACTTGGCTTTTGTTATCAAAAAGGGGGTGAAGAAGGGGAGGGAGAAGGAGACAGAGAGAGAGAGAGAGAGAGAGAGAGAGAGAGAGAGAGAGAGAGAGAGAGATTGGTAGCCAAGAAATTATCTGGTGACGATAAAACGCCGACCACAGAGACAGTCCGTCAGTGTCCCAATGTCAGAAATTTTGCGAGTGATAAACTCCAACGTTCCTCCCATCAGCAAAATTCAACGTTCTAAATGCTCGTTGAATCCTCATTTTTTACATTTTCACACAGTACGAGGTGCAACTTGTCATTTTTTTCTCTCTCAACTAATTCAAACGGACACTTGGTGCTATTTATTTATTTCATGAATAATTCAACACGTATTTTTTCCCTTCGATTTGTTCATCAGTAGTGGATAGTGGATAAAGAGGAAGGAACTTACGTGCAAAAGGAGAAGTGAGTGCACAGTGCCGGCACGGAATTTATATTTTTAGAGGGCACCCAGGTCGTCATTCGAGCCTCAGGTTCTATAATCGCTCGTCTCTTTTTTACATCACCAATTTTAATTCATTGATTTTCAATGTTTAACGATGATTAAGCCCCAAACTGACACCGAATCAACTACATAAATTAATTAACAAATCCTCGAGAGAACGACTGAATAAACACTGCATATTCAAAACCACTGATTTTTCAGTTTTAATTTTTTTTTTCAATTTGTTGGTGTTTCGAACGTTGGAGGTGACTATCGCACAACGAAGCGGGCGCGGCGCGCACTTCTCGGCATGGCCGCCGCCATTATACTGAGAATATGAGCCTCAACAGGAACGTAAATAGCCGCAAGACAACCCCCGTTGGTGTGAGAACTATCCGTTGCATGATTTGACCCAAAATGGTTGAAAAAACACTCAAATAAAAAAACCATTAGAAGAGCAATTCAAATACAATAAAATTCATTGGCCCCTCGAGATGTATAACTATCTCCTCATCCGATAGATCGAGAAATTAAAGAGCCTTGAGAATGTGGAATTTTAACGACTCTGGCATAATTATACCAGGTGACATCCAGATGACTGTACAGATTGCCGCGTATTTGATGAATAAATAACGATCCCGATTTGGCAAATCCTCTTATACGAGGGACTAACTACAAGCCGGAACTCCTCTCCAAACATAAAAAATCGTGTCCTCCGATTAAAAAGGTCATCCTACTCGATTTATTCTCAAAAAAAAAATAAAGTTCAGAAAACAAAATTCCAGCTCAAATCTTGAGATTCTCCTGTTGCTTCTAGATATTTGCATGTCCCAGGGGAGCACCTCCCTGCGGATAGTGCTCCAAACGCATCAGAACCTTCATTTCCCCCGAGAATAAAACCTCCCTCAACGCTACAATAAAATCCATCAGTACTGAAAACCACGGAGAACCTTCTTCCCAATAAATTCCAAATAAAATCCCTCGAATTCTCACCTGTTTCTCCCCCGTTGTACCCCCCTCGATCGTACTATTTCCACTGATAACCCCCTCACCCCCCACAACACTGACCGCGGTATCATCACTCCTCTCAGTATTTCCCCCATCACCACCACTTGTTCCGTCATCCTGTTCCTTGTCAGGTGCCACAGGCTCCTGTCTATTCTCCGGCCCTGGGGCCATTTTGACCGAAATTGACAGCGCCGTATCAGCCGCACTCATAACCTCTCCATAACTGACTTCCACCGAATAACTCCAACCCCCCACCCCCCCTGGATTCACCGCATCAAAAATCCAGCCTCACACGCGTGATGAACCGCATAGTCCCCCCCCCCC